ACAGAACTCTTGGTTTGGGCCAAACAACAATCTGGTCCTACCAGAAATTCTAAAGCTCCCACTACTGACCACTGCACATGCCTTAAGCCACTGGTCTACTGGCAAAATGACAGAGTTCATGAACCAATATTGGTGAAGAAACACAAAGAAAGCTGTGAGAAGCGCCCACTGTGCTTGTCCCATCTGTCCAAAACACAACCCAGGAAAACCTGTCTGCACTGCAGTAAATTGCTAATGGGCCACTCAAGACCTGGCAGAGGAATTTTATTCAGCTGCTCCCATCTCAGGGATATAAATATGTCTTAGTCATGAGTTGCATGTTTTCTCACTGCACTGAAGCTTTCCCTTGCAGACAGGCTACTGCCTCTTCTGTGGCTAAGATCCTGTTAGAAAAGATCATCTCTACCTGGGGAACCCCCCCCACCCCCGCCCCTGAACTTCAGCAGTTGAACACTTTGACAGGTCTGTGGCTGGTTTTACACTTTCACTGTCTTACCATCCTCAATCCTCAGGGCTAGTCTAACGCATTAATGACATCATTAAGACCCAACTGGCAAAATTTGTAGAGACCCTCCAAATACCTTGGCCAAAAGCATCACTGTTGGCCCTTCTAAATCTCAGATCCACCCGTTTGGGAACTCACAAACGCTCACCCTCTGAGACAGTCACAGGAAGCCCAATGCACCTGGTTCCCGCCTCCTTTGATCCACAGCTGATAAACGGAGATATACTTCAATATTGTAAGGGCCTTACTGTTTCCATTGAAAGTAATCACACTTTAGTGATGTTTTCATAGCATGCTCCCAGGAGATGAAGACCTTAAGTACCACACCATGCAACCCGGAGATTTCACCTACTGGAAGGGACACCGCAAGGAGGATTCCCTTCGACCTCACTGCAAAGGCCCCATCAGGTACTGCTAGCCAACCCGTGTGCTGCTAAGCTCCAAGGAATGGGCTCCCGGATTCACGTCGCCTCTAAAGAAAACGCCAAGCCCTGAGTGGGCCTGCACTCCTGGACTCACGTCACCTCTAAAGGAAACGCCAAGCCCTGAGTGGACCTGCACCAACTGGCAACTTGAAAGTAAAGATTTCCAGGAATTGAAGCATCTGACGAGACAGCTTCCCCAGGACGGACCAGGCCCATATGCTCTTTTCTCACTATTGCTTCTTGCCTTATTTTCTCCCTCTCTACCTTGGACAGACATTGCTTTTATGCACATTTCCTCATCTACTGCAAAAGAGGGAAACCTCTCTGATTGTTGGATTTGTCACCAGAAACCTTGATCTGTCCGTGACAGCAGTGACCCCTACTCACACTATAAGTAACTTCTCTGGAATCCCAAATGCCACTCTGTACCTAAACTGTTCCGCAGGCCCCTTGTGTAAGGTGAGACTACTAAATCCGCATGCCCTTGTTCCCTGGCTTAATTTAAGCTCTCCTGAATATACATACAGAAGACACTGGAGCAGTCAGTTTGAGACAGACCGTTTGTAAGCTGGCTGTCATGCCCATATATTTAGGAAGACTTTTAGTATGTGATAACATCATACGTGAGTCTTGGTTGAAGGACGCCAAGTCCTTGATACCGACAAATGAGTCCATAAATGCTACTACTGATGAGGGGGTCCTACGTGTTCCTCCCGGTTACTCTTCTATATGTGGAAGCCTTGGTAATGGCCCCCAGCTTGGGCAGCTCATCATCTTGACAGCTGGAGGGTAAAAGAACAGTGTGCTTTTGCTGTATTCACTGTTCTACTTTCTCTTCATAACAGATCAGAAACCTCCTATTGGTCTATTGTGTTAAACCTCCTTAGCTGCCTTACATGGGAACTTCCAGCAGGCGTATATGACCCCAGGTTTGCCTCTGTAGGGAAAGCCGCCTTTCTCCCCCCATCAGAGTAGGTGCCAATGAACACACGATTAGAAATCTCTTCCTAACATTAGAAGAGCTGGCCAATTCCACAGCCGAAGGAGTAGCAGCCCAACATCGTTCACTTAACTTATTAGCTAAAGTAGTTTTAGATAAGTGCATAGCCCCCAATTACCTATTTGCTGAGCAAGGAGGTGTTGGAACAATAGCAAATACCATCTATTGCACATGGATAAATGTCTCGGGAGAAGTAGAAATCCAATTACACAAAACCAGGGAGCAAGTACACTGGTTCCAAAAGATTTTCACCTGATATTCCACGGTCCTTGGATTTGTTCAGCTGGCTACCTTCAGGCCTAGGGTCATGGGTCAGAACTATCATAAAATTTGGAACTGTCATGTTACTTTAAACTTTGTTTTGCATAATTATTTTTAACCTTTGTACCTGTTACATGTTAAACCTTTGTAGAAATGATGTACGCAATAGAGTGATGTTGGCTCAATGCTTTGAGATCTCCAACGTCACAACCTTGACAAGATGTACACTTTAGATAGGAATGCTTGAGAGTCTTCCCTTCTAACCTTCCCTGTTACTCAAACATGGCCTTGAACGGTTTCCTACTGCTATGTAATTTCCCTCTGACTTTGGATGTGACAAATAGGAAAGGTCCTTCCTGACACTGAAGGACAAAAACCACTAAATGCAGACAACCTGACTCTTGATCAGTGATACTTTTGGAGAAAGTTCGTGTTCAAAAGGGGGAAATACGACAATTAATAAAAGGAAACCTCAATTAAAATGGAGAAGGGGAGCCCTGAAGGGGGAGCACTCAGGCACGTATCTTCCTTCATTCCTGGGCAAGAAGAAGCTGACATTACTGCCCCAGCAGGAGAAGGAAGATTTTCTACTTGTTCAGCAACAGGCCAGCCAATGAGACACTGTCACCACCCTGAACCCTTGCTTTCCTCCAATGGACTTTCACTCAAAGCAGCCCCTCCCAACTTCCTCCTTTTCTCTATAAAGCAAGGTAAAGTAAGGTTTCTCTCTCTCCTTTGTTCCCCAGACTTGCCTATGGTTTCACCATAGCTTGCATGTCCCGAATTGCAATTCCTCTGCCATTCTGGAATAAACTCATTTTGTAGGTAAAAGAACTGGCTATTTTATTTTTAAAGTTGATTATTACCTAAAAAGTTATGTACCTCTTCAAGATAAACTGACAGCTCTAAATTTCTTTCTTTTTTTGGCCATGCTGTGCGTTTTGCAAGATCTTAGTTCCCCGACCAGAGATTGAACTCGGGCCCGGAGCAGTGAGAGCACTGAGTGCTAACCACTAGACCACCAGGGAATTCCCTAGATTTCTTTCCAAATGAATATTATTTGACAATAAAAAATTCATGCCCAGAGGCTCTGATCATTGGTGTAAACTTTGTGTTCTCTTGGAGAAGTGTGGCTCATGCCCTGAAGATTTCAGGCTCTATGAATTCCTAGGTCATAGAAGGCACTGGAAAAACTCCCCTTGCACCCTTGTAAAGACCCCCAGGACCACCTCCCACCGGAGCTGTATCTATCAGTGCCTGAGCAATCACTCTTTGACCTGGGCTAACAGAGCACCCTGTCCTCTCTTTGGGAGACTTGGTTTGAGGTTACTTTCCTTTGCCTTCCTATGATGTGCTTGACCTCAGAGAACACTGCTGAAGTCAGGAGACCCCCGAGCTAAACCCAGCATGAGTCTGAATGGAGATCAAGGCACATATACCCTTTCCTTTGAAGCAGTCTGAAAGTTTACTACTAAAACAAGTATAGGTCATGCCTTAGAAGAAATACCATGTCAAGATGTGAAAGAACCATATCAGTATTACTTTTATAAATATTACAAAAAAGCGGCCCTGTCTGTGTATTTAAGTACCTTTAATTCATGCATAAATGCTGAATAAGTGCATTTAGTAGGAAGGACCTCTGCTGAAGGGAAATGCAGGTGTGTGTGGGGGGGGAATGCAAGTGTATTTGCATAAAACCATGGCCGCAGCTCACTCCGGGCCCCTGGGCTTGGGGAGAAGCAGGACTGGACTGATTCGTGAGTCTGGGGGGAGCGTGGATGTGACTGAGGCTGCCTGATGGAGGTGTTCCTCCAGCCCCCTTGGGCCGGGTGAGGCTGCCCTGGCTGGCCCAGTCCTGGGATGCTACTTGCGCCCAGATAAAGCCCTTGTTCAATACCAGCTTCATCAGCATTAAAGAGGCTATCTGTCCCCATCTGCTCCACTCTTCTGTTTCAGTTCTCAGTTCACCGAGAGTGGAGTCTTGTTTGTCGGGTTCCCTCAGAAACGCCAAAAGGAAAATATATTTGAATTTTAAATGGGATTTACATTCAACTTTTTAGCAATATATCATCTGAATAAATGTAAGTCACAGTATATGACTGAATGTAAATGTCATACAGATTTACATGTTCATGAATAGGAGCAAATAGTAAGCCTTCTACTCACTCTTGGAAAACAAGTCATGAGGAGTGAGATTCCCTGAGGAGGTGAGGGGACCAGGAGGTGAATGGCCTCAGGTGGCCGACACTAAGTCGGGGAAGCCAGATCAGGCCCTGGGGCAGCTCAACAACTAACTCTGCCCCACCTTTGGGGAAGAATGAAGGCTTCTCAGGAAAAGACTTAAATGTTTCAGAAAAATACTCACTGGTATTACATCACTCAAGTAATGAAGACTTTTAAAGGTGTACAAATATTCCAGATGAGTCTGAAAGAGACCTGGCTAAAGTTCTGTGTTACATGAAAGCAGTGAGATGTAAAATCTTTACCACCAAGCACAGAGAATGCGGGACTGGCCCTCAATCAGGGAATTGGGGGAGGGGCAGTTCTCCTTCCTCTCTTCCGTATTTGCATGCTTCTTAAGTGAATGTGGGTTAATGTTATAGGGAAAAAGGTTCAACAAATTTTCTTTAAAAACAGAAGGAAAAAAGTCCAGCGCGTAACTAGATGGGTGAGTCTGCAGCACAACCCGACCCTCGTGTGGTTCTGCCGTCTGAGTCGTAGTAAGACTAGCAGTTGAGACGGAGAGAGCCCATGCGCCCTTGAGGACCCACAGCCCTTGCCCCCCCCCCCCACCGCCCGTCTGACCCACCTCGGTGACCTCCACCCGCTGACAGTCGGTGCATGGATCATTAGTTCCCGGGCACTGAAGCCGTCTTCGTGTCCAGATGAGCTGACAACCACGAATCCGATCTTGTGGGGCATTGTGCACGCTGGGGCTGTGTATGAGAGCAGGAAAGACTGCTTTAAGGGACTTGGTAGTACATCGCAACATTGAAAGTGTTATTTCCTGCCTTGTTAATACACAGAGTAATTCCCAACCTAGTCAGGACTGTCCCGTCACTTTGAAAGAGTCTAGTTCTTATTACACAATTTTTAAGATGCCTCTTGACTTTTCCCAAATATATGCCAAAAAGTTTGACCAGCGTTGTGGGTTGAACTGTGTCCCCCCCAAAGCTATGCTGAGTCCTAACTCCTGATGCCAGTGACGTGACCTCGTTTGGCAACAGTGGGGACGTAAGCAAGTTAAGATGAGGTCATATTGGAATAGGATGGGCCCTGCTCCAACATGACTTGTGTCCTTATCAGAAAAGAGACAGGGACACACACACAGACAGGGAGAAGCCAAGTGACAGTGGCCGAGCAGCTGGAGCACTGCATGTACAAGCCAAGGAAAGCCGAGTGCTGTCTGGAGGCAGCAGAAGCTGGAAGGGGCCAGGAAGGAGCCTTCAGAGGAAGCGTGGCCCTGCACAAGTGCACCTTGATTTTGGACTTCTAGCCTCCGGGATAAATTTTTGTGGTTTTAAGTCATCCAGTTCATGTTACTTTGTTATGGCAAAAACAAGGTCTTTTGCTAAGATATGAATATAAAGATTTTCAAATTATTAAGGAACTAATAAACCAGTGCGCTAATGAGTTATACAAAAATAAGGGGAAAGGGGGCAGTTTAATCAACAACATTGCTAAATGAAAATGCTGATCCGCAGGGGGGGCAGAACCACGGACGGAACCTCAAGCACACAGGTGTTCTCCCCGAGCCTGGCGGAGTGGCTGACTCTGGGCAGATGCGCAAATACCAGCTGAAGGATTTTCTTGTCTTGATGTTTTAGCAAAGCTGGCTTGGCTCATAGTTACCTACCATCGTTTTGAGGGTGGCTGTAGTGACGCCCAGTTTTGCCCACTCCTTTGAAAACAGCACCTCAATCCCAATTTCCCTCCGTGGTTCTGTCCTCCCCACACCCGGAACTGTGGGGCTGACGCCCATCCTGCCCCCCACAGATCCCTGCCTGAGGGGGCACGTTTCCCAGGCTTGGGTGGTCCATGAGTTCCACATCCCTCCTCAGGAACGGGCTCAGGGATGGAGACATGAGAACAGGACCCAAACTGGACCAAAGCCACTCAATCCCAGGACCCTGCGGAGGCTGTGGCCATAGCATAGTGTCTGCGGCGGTGGCGGGGGGGGGGCTGCTGGAGGCCACCAGAGGGGAGATCCAGGCAGGGAGTGGAGCTGACACGGGGAAGCAGTGCTGAGAGAGGCAGAGACACCCTGTGAGCCTCAGGACTTAAAGCCCGAACAACTCATGGACTTCCGGTTACTCTCCAGTGACTAAGCCTGTCGATGCTCTTCAGTCGGCCAATTTGAGTGAAGTATGCAACCAAGAGTCCTCACTAACACAGAGGATAAAGACTTCTCCAGAAAGTTCTCTGGGGTAGGACATACTATTAATGGAGATTTTCAGGAGGAGGTGACACACAAGCATATCCCACATGGAATGTGTTTAACATGCTTGATACATGATCTAGATCTTCCTTTGACTTTTACTGAGAACCTGCAGAGGACCACGTCAATAAATTAATTCTTGGCTGGCACTCGCTAATGTTTCTTGGAATATATGAACAAAAGTATTTAAAATAGAAAGAGAAACCACTATTAAAAATCCCAGTTATTTTTTATACAAAGCTCACTGCAGGATATCACAGGAGAGAAAACCAAACTAACCCAGAAAGTAATAAAATGCAGGCACAAAAAATGGACAAGTGTGATTTAACCCACGGCAACTGCACAGCCTGGCCTGTGTGCCAGCTCCCATGCCAGACATGGACTGGCCTCACCCAGCCTTTGGCTCCTCCCACGTGGCCCGCTCGCAGCCTGGACTGACTCTCCCCTTGGCCTCCATACCTCCCCCTCCCCCGTCCCCTCTCCCTCAGTGCCAAGTCTCACTGGTCCCACCTTTGGAACAGTGACTGAATACGTCACTTCTTCTGGATCCCACTGTGTTCTCTAGAAAACAACAGCCAGGTTTCCCCACGTGGAGTACTGCCCCCACCGGAAGAACCCTCCTCAAGCCCAACCCGCTGTTCTAACCCCCGCTTTCTGTCATGGATTCTAAAGTCCCTCCAAACTTACTAAAGCTCAGAGTTAGACCCTTGTGTCCTTCCATCACCCTTAAGAGCAGGGCCTGTTACTTTCTATCCCACCTTGAAAACAGTAGGTACCTATGAAATATTTTCAACTGAGTGTGATCACGTATCCTGAAATTCCAGAGATCTGAAATACTGTTTATTCATCTTGCTGACCTGTGTACTGACCTACTCCCTTACACATACTTCTGTGTGCAGATGCATACATGTTTATACCTTCATCACAACTCTGACACCCCAGCTGTAGAGACGAGGAAACTGAGGCACAGAGAGGCCTGGCCCAGGGTCATCCGGCTATGAAGCCACACAGGCCGGGTTTGTTCTAAAGCTGGTCGGGTTCCAGAGCCTGGTCTTGGCCAACACCCTCGGTTATGGCCCTAAGAGTTAGAAAAGGAGCCCTTTAAATCCGAATAAAGGACGTGTCCACTATACTGCGCTACCTCAATAAATCCAAAACACAGTCCTGGCATTTAGGAACCAGACAGGAGAAGTGCCTGGGAACCGCAGAGGCAACGCTATTACGTCGGTTTGGGAATTCGAACAGGATTCCTTTATGGCCACGTCCTTCCGCCTTGTTCCCTAGGGTCCCCTTTGCGTAAACCTTCAAGTCTTCCCTAAGATACTTGGGGTGTCACTAAGGACACTAGTATTGGGCTCTATAGAAATCACACTAACATTCTGGGGAGAACCAAAGCTCTGTCGAGTGCGGGGCCCCGGTGCACAGCGGTCCTCGCCTCAAAACGAGCGCCGGTTGCATCTTCCCCAGCAGCGATCACTCTCCCCCGCGCCGCAGGACGAGCTGGGACCGTGGGGAGAAGGTAACTCGGCGGTTCCTCCTACGAAGTCTGCTTTTCACTACGCATCGGGGTACTGAATCTCTACGTTAAATCGAAACACTTTACCAACTTCCGAACATCTTGCTACAAGACTAGGAGACAGATTTGTATCGTTTCCTTCTTAGGAAAACCTAAATGTTACACACGGAAATGGTTTTTTGCTCAAGCAACCTCAAGGCTCGAAAGTGCCCCTGAGAATCCCCGAAACAGACGAGGCTGAAGAGCCAGCTCAGCACCGAGTCGGGGTCGCTGAGCCCGCACCGCCGCCAAACGCGAGGACCAAGCGCTGGCGCCGCCGGCCGCCCGGGGCGGTGACGCAACGCGCTGGCCGCGCCCACGGAGGCCCTGCCGCCCACGGAGGCCCCGACGCCCCCGGCCCGCTCGTGTACCTGTCAGGACGTCCGCACGACCCGGGCTCTCCGCCGGCCCTCGGCAGCGCCGCGCCTCGGCGGAGCTCAGGAGGCGCCTCCTCCGCCGACCCGGGCCGGCCGGCACCCCCAAGCCGCAGCGGTGGTGGCAGCCGAGGAGCAGCCCCGGCCGCCTGCGCCTGTTGCCCCGGCCGCGGCCGCCGCTCTCATGACAACCAGGCCGGCCCGCCCGGACTTCCGCGCGTGCGCGACCCCGCCCCGCCGCGCCTGCGCACAAGGCGGGGTCGCACGGCCTCTTCCTGGGCCTTCTGGGTAATGTTGTTTTCAGGGAACGGCGCCTGCGCACAAGGCGGGGTCATGCCGCCGCTTCCCGGGCCTTCTGGGTAGTGTAGTTTCGGGGGCGGGGGCGGCCCGGGGCCTTGACTCCACTTGGTGGAAACCCCCAGGCGCGGACACAAGGCGCGGCTCGCCGCGTAGGCGCCGCCCGCGGGGCCGGAATCTCTGAGGATGTCTGCGGTGCTCCAGAAGCTCAAGAGGTTCAAGCTGCGGGCCCTGCACAACCAGAAGAAATTTGGGGTGGCGGGCAGGAACTGCGAGGAAGTGCTGCGGAAGGGGTGCCTCCACTTGCAGGTGCCCCGGGGTCCGGGGGGCGGGGGCCCTCCGCTTGCAGGTGCTCCCCAGGCCGAGGAGCTGGGGGCCGATGGGCTGGGGGCCTCTGCTTGCGGGCGCCCCGGGCCGCGTGGCGGTGGGGGGGTGGGGCGAGTCTGACTGAGCGAGCCTGCCCAGAGCACTCTTTTTGAGCGGGGAAGATGTTGGCCCGTCGTCCTGCACTGTCAACACTGGCCGATCTCAGGCTGCACCGAGCCGCAGTGCGTCCCCGAGTAATGACAGTCGCTGGGAGGGGGCACTGTCCATATCCCCAGGGCGGAAAGCCTGAGCCTGACCACTGCCGACGGCCACGTGCCCGACCCCGGGCTCCATCCTGGCTCCTTACGTGGGCTGTCGTGGAGTCCACCTGTCGCCTAGTGAATCGGGCGCTGACACCCCCATTTCAAAGATGAGGAAACTGAGGCACCGAGCGACTAAGCAACGTGCCATAGCCACCGAGGAAAGGCCGGTGTTTAAACCCCGGTCTAGCTACGCTGGAAGCCTCTTAGCCCAGCCTCTGCGGGTGCGGGGGCTGCAGGCGGGGGGCGGGGGAATTGGGGTCCTTCCCGGCTTCTGGGTCCTGGTGCTGCATCTCAGCAGATGGCCTGAGTGAAGCCTCTGCCCCAGCACTTAGGAGCCCACCCGCTTGGGAGAAATTTAGGGAGAATAGGAGGTGCTGCTTTTGTGCCTCAAAACCAGGGAGTGTGGGAGACATCTGGGCCCCAGGGAATTCCCATTTCCTGTGCTGCGGAGTAGCCCCCAACCTCCTCCTCTGGCTCCTCGGCCCCGTCAGAGCAGGGGGACTTTGTAGAGAGGCCTGGGAAACTTCCCCCTTCTGACCGTGAGCATCACGACATCTCTGGCCTGAGACCCAGGGACTTGGTTCCAGTGCTCGTGCTCCAGGGCACAGGCCGTTCCCTGCCTGGTTCCCCCTGGTGTAGAATGAAGGGTTGGGCTCAGAGGCCTCTAAAAGCCCTTTGGCACGAATATTCTAGGTATTTGAGCCATTGTTCTTACCCTTATTGAATTAATTTCCTCCACTGGGCTTAGACCAGTGCTGGGGTTGTGTGTGCGTGTGTGGGGTCGGGGAGAGGGGAGGAGTTGCTATTAAAAATGGATATGGGGAGGGGGAAGGGTGAGCTGTGACAAAGCGAGAGAGTGGCATGGACATATATACACTACCAGACGTAAAATAGATAGCTAGTGGGAAGCAGCCGCATAGCACAGGGAGATCAGCTCGGTGCTTTGTGACCACCTAGAGGGGTGGGATAGGGAGGGGGGGAGGGAGGGAGACGCAGGAGGGAAGAGCTATGGGAACATATGTATATGTATAGCTGATTCACTTTGTTATGGAGCAGAAACGAGCACACCATTGTAAAGCAATCATACTCGAATAAAGATGTAAAAAAAAATTCATAAAACTGATTGGTGTCGAGCAACAGAGGACTAAACCTCACCAAGTTAAGAGTCCCGTGTGCTGATCACACTTCCGTGGCCGGAGGCGGTGGGCCCTGCTCAGTAAAGATGTTCTCCTTAACTAATGGGTGCCCAGGGAGAAACTCGAGCGCTAGGCGATGTGTCCTGACACCTGTCGGGCAATGAGCCTCGTTGATGGGGATGTGTTTACAGGCTTCGTGCAAGCAGTCAAGGGTCATTTTTGGAAACAGGCTTGGATTTTTTTTTTTTTTTGCGGTACGCGGGCCTCTCACCGCCGCGGCCTCTCCCGCCGCGGAGCGCAGGCTCCGGACGCGGACGCGCAGGCCCAGCGGCCATGGCCCACGGGCCCAGCTACTCTGCGGCATGTGGGATCCTCCTGGACCGGGGCACGAACCCGTGTCCCCCGCATGGGCAGGCGGACTCTCAACCACTGCGCCACCAGGGAAGCCCACAGGCTTGGATTTTAAAGTGCCCTGGAGGAGCTCGGTTTGAAGGGTCCGAGTGGTGAATCCTGCAAAGCGGTTATCACCGTGTATGTATTTCTATGACTTTCCAGGTCTTAGAACGACCTACAGTAGGTGCCCTTGTTTGGACGTGCTCTGTCCGTGCAGACTGCATCTCGAGTGGGATTCTTTACAGCGTCGTAGCTCCTTCTTGTTCTCTGTGAGGGCTGCAGATGGGAAGGCCTCAGGTCGCCACCCCAAGACTGGGCCGCCCGAGATCCAGGAAGTAAGCATCCCACCCTGCTCTCCCCTCCCCCACTTCTTCCCAGCTCCCCGTTCCTGGCTCCACCCTGTGTCTCTACGAGGATGGCACGGAGGTGACTGGAGATTACTTCTGGAGTGTCCCCGATGACTCGGAGCTCGTGCTTCTCACTGCGGGGCAGACCTGGCAGGGTTGTAAGTGGCGGGGACCTCGGAGATCTGTGGGGAAGCTGGTGTGGCTTTGGAGGTGCAGAGGGCCTGCCTGGGGGTGCCAACCCCGGGAGGGAGGGGTCCCCCTTACTCTGGGCTCTGAAGGAGGAAGCCCCAGAGGCAGAATCAGATGGCAGTGTTGTCCATCCTCTTGGCCAGGAGGCCAGTGGTCCAGCTGGTTGGTCTACGTGTCTTTTTAAGAAATTCCTTTAGTTTTATTTACATTCATTTGAAGTGTCCTAGTAACCCCTAAGGGCAGAAGGGAGGGCTTTGCGGGTGGGAGCCTGCCCAGTTTTGTGGGTAAGGCAGAGCCAGAGAGAGAGGCTGTCCTGTTCTGCTGGGCTTTGTTGTGGAAAATAATCAATAACCAATCAATAATAAGAACAGAACAGTTTTATTTGAGCCAGACTGAGGACTATAGCCCAGAAGCCCTCTTCCCAGGTTACTCTGAGAAACTGCTCCAGAGAAGCAGGGTTTTCAGCACAGTTTTATGTCTTGTCAGAACAAAGACCCTTAAACAAGGCAGGGATGCATTTCTCCGAGGTTTCAAAAAAAACCAGACCAGCACGTACACAGCGAGTCAGCATGGGCTTGGCACCTGGGAGGGAGCCTTATGATCGAAGGAGTAACCAGCATTGGTGTCCCAGGAAGAGGGGCATTTAATTTTTATCTTTAACATGGATGTTCTTTACTTCTGGTCAGTGCGCCCTTTTCTTTAATAATTAAAGCAGATGTGCAGTGTATGTTTGATCAGCCACAAAAAGGCTGTTTTAGTTAGCATCAAATTCACGTTAACTCATGTAGAAGCCAGAACAACGTCCCTGCATCTCAATATGTAAAAATTTCTTTTATCAACTTTCTCAGGGATGGGCTGGTGGCTGATGCTGTGCTCAGTGTGTGGTCTCTGTCGGGTTTGCGGACACACCGTCCTTAGGCTCCTGTCGGGGCTGCCTTATTGGAGCAGGTGCTCTTGGAGTTGGTTCTTTAGGGGGGCCTGTGCTGGATGACAAGTGATACTCTGGAGCCATAGGCCGGTGGCCAGGTGTGTGCCCTTTCCCTGGGAGGGTCGTCTGGCCCTTGTGCAAAGGGGCTTCCATTTCAGGAGATGTTTCTGGTGCCTGGGGAAGGAAGTGGAGCTCTGAGGACCGAGGTTGTCCTACATCCTCTGCCGAAAGGGCGGAGAGAGAAGCCCGAGAGCAGTGCAGGTGTGGCCTCGCCCCTCGGTTGGGACGCTGCTGTCAGCAGTGAAGGTGACATGTCTGCTGTGCGCTCCTAGTGGCAAGCAGCCTTCCTCCTTGTACTTCTAGAGAATTAAGTCTCAATAAAGTTGTTAAAAAAGGAAAGAAAAGGAACTGCACGCCGCTTTCCAGAGCTGCGGTCCCATCTTATCTCCACAGCAGGGACGAGAACGGCCTCTCCAGCTCTTGGCATTGTCGCTCTTTTCACTTTAGCCGTTCTGGTGGGTGTGCGATGGTGTCTGGACTTGCATTTCCCTCCCGACGGATGGTGTTGACCATCTTCTCCTGGGCTGATTTACCACCTGTAAACCTTCCTGTGAAGTGTCTTTTGTCCATTGTCTAATGGGGTGTTTTTTACGGTTGAGTTTTGTGAATTTTTTCCTAATATATTCTGGATGAGTCTTTGTCAGATGTGTTGTTGACACTGATCTTTTCTAGCAGTCTGCAGCTTGTCTTTTTTTTTTTTTATAAATATGTTCTTATGACCATTATGCTTTTATTTCTGTGAGAAAGATTCCTAGGAGTAGAATTGCTGAGCCAAAGAGTATATGTGATTTTTAAAAAATAAATTTATTTATTTTATTAAATTTTTTTGGCTGCGTTGGGTCTTCGTTGCTGTGCGCGGGCTCTCTCTAGTTGTGACGAGCTGGGGCTACTCTTTGTTGCGGTGTGTGGGCTTCTCCTTGCAGTGGCTTCTCTTGTTGCGGAGCATGGGCTCTAGGGGCGCAGGCTTCAGTAGTTGCGGCACTTGGGCTCAGTATTTGTGGCGCATGGGCTCTAGAGCGCAGGCTCAGTAGTTGTGGCGTGCAGGCTCTAGAGTGCAGGCTCAGTAGTTGTGGCGCACGGGCTCTAGAGCTCAGGCTCAGTAGTTGTGGCGTGCGGGCTCTAGAGCGCAGGCTCAGTAGTTGTGGCTTGCGGGCTCTAGAGCGCAGGCTCAGTAGTTGTGGCACACGGGCTTAGTTGCTCCGCAGCATGTGGGATCTTCCCGGACCAGGGCTCGAACCCGTGTCCCCTGCATTGGCAGGCGGATTCTTAACCACTGTGCCACCAGGGAAGTCCCTGCAGCTTGTCTTTTCGTTCTCTTGACCGCGTCTTTCATGGAGTAAAATTTTTAATTTTGATGAAATCCAACTTGTCCCTTTTTATCCTTCTACGCGTATGGCTTTGGTGTTCAGTCTGAGACCTTTTCACGAAGCTTTAGGTCTTGAAGGTTTTCTCTGTCTTTCTGCGCCAGTTGCTATGATCATGTGACTTTTCTTGGTTAGCCTGTTGAGGGTGGATCACACTGATTGATGTTTGGACCCCGAGTGGCCCCATATCCCTGGAATGACCCTCGGGACCGTGCGGCCTGTTCCTCGCATGTGTCTGGACTTCTGTTTGTAGGACGCTGTGAAGCCCTCGGTCCCAAATGCCTGCTCGGAGGGCTTGCTGCTTTCGGGTGTGAGCGGAAAGGCCCCGGGAGCCAGCAGGACAGTGAAGGGACGAACCTAGAGTGTGAGAGGTCTCGAGGGAGGTTCCAAGACGAGGTGATTTCACTTGGAGGAAGGAAGGCTGAGGGGAAGGGCGGCAACTCGCTTGGGTGGCTTTCGTTGTCCCAACCGCGTCCCGTGTCCTCCCTGTCTGTCCTCACACCAGCCGGGCGCGGGCAGCCAGGCCTAAGGCCCGGAGCCCTGGGCTGGTGACTGTCGGGGCAGGGGTCTGGCTGGTCCCGGGGGAGGAGGTGGTCTCCCCGAGGCAGTGCTCCAAGGCCTGGTAGCCTCTCTGTTCCCTTCGGTGGCAGATGCGAGTGACATCAACCGCTTCCTGAGCGTGTTCCAGGAGCCGCACGCAGAGCTCATCCAGGCCGCCCGGCAGCTGCTGTCGGGCGAGCGGGCCCCGCTGCGTCAGAAGCTCCTGGCCGACCTGCTGGGCACCGTCAGCGAGAACATCGCGGCCGAGACCAGGGCTGAGGACGCGCCGTGGTTCGAAGGTGCCTCATGGATTCGCGCCTGGAGGGAGCGGGTGGGGAGTGCTTCCTCTGGGCCAGCTTGCTGGGACATGGGATCTGTGTCAGTTCCCATACCCAGGGGCTCCCCAAGCGCGGGGCCAGGGGCCAGGCAGCCCTGGGACTGGCCGTTTTATTTTTATTTAATTTTCAATTGTGGTCAAGTAGGCATAAGATAAAATTCCCCATCTCTACCGTTTTCAGGCGTATAGTCCGCTGGCATTAAATATTTTCCCGTTGTTGTGCAGGGTCACCACCATCTGTCCTCAGACACCCTCCTCTTCCTAGACTGAAGCTCCGCCCACGCTGAACATCGCTTCCCGCCCCTCCGCAGCCCCGGCCCCCAGCCTTCTTCCTGTCCCTGTGATTCTGACTCCTCCAGGGGCCTCGTATGAGTGGAATCGGCATCTGGCTTACTTCACTCAGCATTTAATGTCTCCATGGTTCATCCATGTGGAAGCAGGTGTCAGGATTCCCTTCCTCTTTGAGGCTGCGTGATATTCCATCACCTGGGTGGACCGCATCTTCTTTATCCATTCACCTGGGCTGCTCCCACCTTTCCGACTGGCCTCTCAAGCCAGGCGGAGGGAGCCCTGAGCAACTGCAGCCCTCTTGGGAAAGGGGCTTGGAGGTGCCACCAGGCAGGAGCCCCTCGGTGGCCTCTGAGATTCTCCGTGCTGGTGGACCAGACTTCTGCACAAATGAACAAAATCCAGGGATAGCGTGCAGGTCCCCATTAGAACGTCTCTAGATGGAGCTGAGCAAAACGGCCCTCACCTTCTGCCCCTCCTGGGAGAGCACGGGCCCTGGGCTCCAGGCGTCTTGTCTCTCCTTCTGGCAGGTTTGGAGTCCCGGTTTAGGAACAAGTCTGGCTACCTGAGATACAGCTGTGAGAGCCGGATCCGGAGCTACCTGAGAGAGGTAGGTCCACACTGATGCTGGGTGTGCCAGGCGGGTTTAGGAAGCGGGCTGTGCTGTTGGGACTCTGCTCCAGGGCCAGCGTGGCTGTTGGAGGAGCGCACAGGCTGGCGTGGGTGCGGGTTCAGGGGTAGGTGCTGCTGTGGATGCCAGTCTGGGTGCAGGTGGACGTGAGCCAGCAATGGATGGGCCGCTTGCCCGGGGAGCCCCCCGCACGGCCGACATCTGGCTTCCACTTGTCAGAGCTCAAGCTGGGTCCGGGGTTGCAGACTTTGCCTCCCTGCACTCTGCGTGAACTCTCCCTACGGGCTGTGAGTAGCGAACCCACCTTTGAACGCCTTCATCTGTTGGGCGGTTCAGTTTCGACGTGAACTCATCCCAAGTAGCCGTCTCCGTCCACCGTTAGCTTGGATGGACACCCACACGGTGGGTGGGGAGGGGCAGCTGCTCTTCTGTCCCCAGCACTGCCGTTGACTTTCCCGTCTGTGCGAGGCACAGCTGTCTGACCGCCAAGAAGCAGCAGCAGGGGCTCTGAGTCGTGGTGGGTCCAGGCTCTGACTCTGGGCTCCCCTCCGGGAGGCGTGAGAAGCAGGCTGATACAGGTTGAGAGCCGAAAGTCTCCCGATGGAGACGCACTTCACCTCCGAGGAGAAATGGGTCCTCGGGCCCAGTGCACTCTGTCCCGCTCCCTTTCAGCAGGGAGGTGACCCAGCTGACAGATGACCTGCAGCAGGGCAGGCCACGGAGGGGACTGGTGCCCGTGGTGCTTTGGGGGTGCGTTGCCCCCTCTCTGGAGGATAACCTGGGTGCTTGACTGGCCCCTGAGGCTGGGTTCTGGGCGGATCTCTTCCACCCTTCATGGGAGGACAGGCGGCAGGGGGCGGGTTTGGGGGCAGCGGCAGGCAAGGGCCCTCAGGCTCTGCTTTCTGTGCCAGTTCCTCAGAGAACCGGCGCTGGAGCCCGGGGGTGGGCTGGGCGCTCCCCGCAGAGGCCCGCGGGCGCTGTTGCCCCTGTGCTGAGTGGCTGGACGTCAGCCGTGGGGCGTCTTGTTCGTCCTTTGCAGACACCCGCCCCCCCACCCCTCACCTGCGCCTGGCTGCACGTCGGTGCTGCAGAACTGCCCACACGCGCTCTGTTGAGATCCCGTTACACAGAAGGAAACCTCAGGACTGGGGTATCTGAGGTCCTGGGGCCTGGTCCAGATCCCCCTCTCCCCCTGCCCCCCATCTCTGCCTGAAAGTGGCCACCCTCGGGCTCCTTCTGTTGCTGAGGACGCGCTCCCCGCGCTGGCTGGTGGGCATCTCCAGGGCATCATTCCCAGCCCCTGCTGGGTGCAGCCCCCTGTCCAGTGATGACCCATCTGCTAACCTGCTGTCACTCACACTGGGCCAGGCGGTCTCCTTGCTTCTGCCCAGCGCTCAGTGTGGGCCCAGCTGTTCCCATGGGTGCGACTCTCCACCTGCGCCCCAGTGGGCGGCAGTGCGCTGGTCACTCCTCACCTGCACACTTCCTCTCGGGTTTCTTGCTGCAAAGCAGTGGGCACTGCTTGGGAGACAGGGCGGCCAGGATGCCTGGAGCTTGAGTTCTTATCTGATTGTGACCAAAGCTCCATCTTACGGGCCCAGAGAAATTTCCCAGGGTCAGACAGGCACAGTCGGTGTGAGCTCACCTCAGGGCCATGCTGGGACCCCAGGGGGCCGGGGCCAGACCCCCAACCTCCGGGCTGTGCTGGAACCCCAGGGGGCGGGGGCCGGATCCCCGACCTCGGGGCCATGCTGGGACCCCAGGGGGCGGGGGCCAGACCCCCGACCTCCGGGCTGTGCTGGGACCCCAGGGGGCGGGGGCCGGATCCCCGACCTCGGGGCCACGCTGGGACCCCAGGGGCCGGGGGCTCTGAGGGCTGTGGCGTTGGTGGACCGGGACCTCGGCGGCGGTGGGTTTTTGGGCGCATGGCCCGCGTCCAGCGGTGCCCCTGCCTCTCCTAGGTGACGTCTGGCGCGTCCCTGGTTGTGACGGAGGCTCGGGAAGAGTACCTGCGGGTCGTGGGTGCCATGTGTCAGAAGCTCCAGGCCGCCCGCTACAACAGCAGCTACTTTGACAGGGGGGCGAAGGCCGGCCGCCGGCTCTGCACGCCCGAAGGCTGGTTCTCCTGCCAGGTGAGCCATGAGCGCGTGCCCGGGGCCACCCCGGCCAGGGCCTGGTGAGCTGGGGCAGCCCTCGGGGTGAGGGAGGGTCTCAGCCAGTGGCTTCCAGACGTCAGTGGTGTCAGAACCCCCTGGAGGGCTCGTGAGCCCCCTGGGCCCCTTCCGGGGCCTCTGTTGCAGCAGCTCTGGTGAGGCCTGAGAGCCTACATTTCTGACACGTTCCACAGTGATGCTGGTTCAGAGCCCTCACTTGAGAACAGCTTTGGCGGGCGCGGGCGGCAGGACACAACTGCTCGTGAGCCGAGACCCCGCCCTGGTGTGAGAGGAGGGGTGGCATTCGTTTGGGTGGCTGATGCGTGTTTTGCTCCCCTGGGAAATCCTGGATGAGAGAGCATCAGGATTGCAGGGTGGTGGCCGGATGTGACATTTCGGGCTCTGGCTGAGCATGGCACCGTGGTGGGTGGCATCAGCTGGAAGCAGCATTCTGAGCTGTGGAGACAGCTAAGGGCACATCTTGCTCTTTGAAAGCTGTACGTTGCACTTCCAGTAAAATCCCCTCCTGCCGCTGGCACTGGGCCCAGAGTGGGCAGGGGTGGGCGCGGCCTCCCTCCCATAGGCCCCCATGCCTCTGCCCCCACCGGGCAGCCCCTCCCACGCGTGACGGGCCGTGAGGATCCAAACGCTGTTCCTTCCCAGCTGGCTTTGCGTCACACCTCACACACAGCTGACCTCTCCCTCCCGGGGGGGGGGTGCGCCTGGAGCCTGGCAGTGTGTGTGGCGGGGACAGAGACCAGACCCTTCACCCCGGCCTGGGCAGGCTCTGGGTCAAAGGCCTCTAAGCGAGTCGGGCGGTAGGCTGCCTGCGGGACGGCTGTGAGGGCCCTCGGGGGCCAGAGTGGGGCTGGGGGCTTCAGGGAGGAGGAGATGTTTTTGCACGTCTCGGAGGCCCAGCCTGTGCAGGGTCTCAGGGAAATATCGGGAAGCCGTGGAGGAGACAGGAGGGGAGCAGTCGTGTGATGGGAGCAGCATGGGGAAAGCTGGCGCCCCAAACGGCTAATAGGCTCACTTGTCCCCTTCGCAGATGCAGAACGTCACCCCCGGGTCATGAGGGAATGGGGTGCCGTTCCAGGGCAGGATGCTTTACCTCCTGAACAGACTCTATATAGGGGCCTGGCCCTGCCAAGGGGTGCCTCCGTCGCGGGCGGAGCGGCAGTGAGATGCTCCTTGGCTTCGTGGCCTTTACCTTCTCTCTTTCGGCCCAGGGTCCCTTTGACGTGGACGACTGTGCTTCCAGACACTCCATCAACCCCTACAGTAACAGGGAGAGCCGCGTCCTCTTTAGCACCTGGAACCTGGACCATGTGTGAGTGCGTGGGGCTGAAGGCCACATCCACAGACCCGGAGTGCACCTGCGACCTGGCGCTGCCCAACCTCCGCGGCTGGCGGGCTGCCTGGTGCGCCACGCGCCCAGTGCACGTGTCACGGACCCACAGACGTCGTGGGCGTGTGGCGTGGAAGGGGTTGCCGGGATCGTGTGGTGCTGACACTCCTGGGCTGCGTGGCGGGTGTCACTCAGCGCGGTGGGCTCAGATCCCCGTCCGCACCTGTGCAACCCCGCGCGTCCCCTCCCACCGCCAGCGCCCACCTGTGGGCGGAGGCAGTGGTCGGCAGCTGCGGCCCGGTCAGTGTGGCACGGGCGCAGCTGTGTGTGGTCCCTGCCTCGCCCAGGGAGTGGGAGCTCTGCGTTGTGACGTGTAGGGCGTTTCCTGCTTCAACCAGGGTTAGCAAGTCTTGGCTGGCAGGATCATTTTATGTGTGTATCAGCTCATTCTAAAAACAAGGGCAGAAAAGGAAAATTTTATTATTTTAACTGAGATGCTTTTCTTGTTGATCCCTGAACAACGTGGGGTTTGAACTGCATGGCTCCACTTATACGTGGAGTTTTCAGTAGGAAATACTAGAGTACTGCTCCATCCACGTCGGTTGACTCTGCGGATACCGAGCCGCGGATACAAAGGAACCCTGCACGCAGAGGGCCTCCTGTAAAGTTACACGTGGATTTTTGCCTGCGTCGGGTGCTGGCTCCTAACGTCCCCTGCCTCCCGTCCTGCGTGTTGCCGGGTTGCTCTCCAGGGTGGTCCCACCGACACCCTCACCGGCTGTGGGTTCACGCGCCCCAGGCTTCACCACCTCTTGGTATCAGTCCTCTTTTTGCGCTCTCCCAGTCTGATGGGCGAGAAAGAGATTCTCCTGTTGCAGTTCATTTGCCTGATTACTAGGAAGGTTGAATGTCCGTGTGTTTATTGGCCACTTGTGTTCTGTGAACTGGCTTTTGCTTCCTCTGCTCAGTTTTTACTGGGCTTTGGTTTTCTAATTAATTTGTAAGAATTCTTTACACGTCCTGGTTACTGATTCTTTGGTGGCTCTTCGTGTTACAGGTATGTTTTTACAGTTTGGGCTTGTCTTTCGCTTCTGGGATGTCTTTGATCGTCACGGGTTTAAATTCCAGTGTACTGAGATGTAGCTCTTCTTTTTTGTGTGAAATCCTTCCCTTCCTGTATCATGAAGATATCCTAGTTTTTCTCTACTGGTTGGCTGCGCTGTTTCTGACCTGCCTGGAGCACCCCAAGATGATCTCGGGGCTCCAGGCCATCTGTCTGCTCCTGTCTTTTCACGGCCCACTAGGGGCCACACCGCCAGCATCTGAGGAGGGAAACAGGCCGGCCTAGAAGAGAACACGGATGAAGCAGCAGCGTGCACGCCAGACCCTGAGTCATGTCTCCTGACACGTGCCAGTTACACTGCCGCTCTTCTTCTAAATACACATACGTCCACATAGATACACGTACTGGCTTTTAATTTGAAATGCAGTTTTGACAGCAGGCAGCGGGGGTTTGAAAACACTGGTCTGATTGTTTCCCTGAGACGTGGACACAGGCCCACCCCGACTCTGATGGGGCTGAAGCCACAAGCCACGTGTTTAAATAGTTAAACACTAAAGAGTAACAAACTGTCAGTACAGCACGTGCTGTCCTCCCCCTTGGACTGTGTCACCGCGGCCCAGTCCAGGTTCCTGGGACTTCTCAGGGCTCCGGGACGTGGCCGCAGTGGCCTGCAGTCCGCAGCCTGCCCTCTTCTCTCACCCCTCGGGCCCCCTCACACCACAAGGGCTGCACCACGCATGTGCAGGCTTAGGGGTGCACGTACGGGGGTGCAGCCTGTCCTGGGAGGATGTTCCGCGCCTGAGTTCCGGGCGTGTGGGCTGGGCGGCGGGGCAGGGATCCTGTTCCCCGAGGGCTAAGGGCGCCTCCTCCAATACCCGGTGTTGCGAGAAGTCTTCCTGTCTGGGATCAGCGCTTCCCTCCCTCTTTTCAAAACCATCCTCGGCCTTTTCCTTAACTTCATTCATTTGCCTTTTATTTTGTATCCCTTCTTTCTACTTTTTTGGGTTTCTTCTTGCTTATTAGTTAATTTGCATCTCTCCTGTTTTCTGACATATACATTTCAGGCTATCAGTTTCAGCTTTAGCTACCACCTGTGAGTTCGGTAATTTTATTGTTATTCAGGTGTAAGGATTCTGTCATTTCCATCGTGATTTTATCGCTGCTCCGTGAACTGGTTAGAAGTGGGCATTTGTTTTCAGTTGCTGCCGGATTCCTAGTTGCCTCTCTTGGTACCCGCTCGCTGCTGTGGTCACTCACGCCTCCTCTGAGCCTCAGTGGCGGGGGCGTGAGTGCGAGTGGCCTCAGATCTGCGTGGCTGGATTTAAGCTGCTCTGCTGTCTTTCCGCCCCTTTCTTGTCGACTCTGACATGTCTCCGGGTTTGGGTGAGTGTCCCACTTGCTCTTATTCCCATGGGGTCCGAGATGGCCCCATCAGAGCTGACGGCTGCCGTCCTCTGCCTGTGTGGTGACGGCCGTGCTCCCTGTCAGCATCGGGCTCTGCCAGGTCAGTGGTGTTGGCACGTCCCCAGCATCTTTCTGCAGCCGGGACAGCGTCTGGCCACTGTGGCCAGTGTTGGTGGAGTAAATAGGAAATGTGTTTGGACTTCTTTAGCCCTCTATTCTGGGTTCCCAGTCACCATTCCAGTCCTTCCCTTTTGGGTCTCCTTTGTGCTTTCTGTGTGTTTAACCGAGTTTTCCTTTTCCCTTGCCCATCACCCCACCCTTCGGTGGTTTGGGAAATAGATGTCTGCTTGTGTTCCCTTAGTGGGGCCCCTGAGTGGAGCACATCGGAAGCAGAATTGCGTCCCCCTTGCCCCCAGGCCCCGTGGAGTCACCTTGGTGTCACCCCCTCTGCTCGCCGTGAGCCCTGCACAAAGCGTGGGCGTGTTCCCGGGGTCGGTCCTCGATTACGCTCACCCACAGATCACATGGCACTCAGGCTCACTCCGTCGATGATGAGGGTCGGGGGGTCGTAGAAAGGCCCTGAGCGCTTGTTGAGCTGACGTGGCTGCAGGCCGGCGGCCACTCGGCCCGCAGTGCTTTGGAGACATGACGTCTCATCTTCTGGCGTCTGTTCACAAGGCTGCCGACAGTCTCCTCTGCTTTTCTGTGGCAGCTTTAGACTTTCCCTTTCTCTTTGAAAATGATGTGTATCTAGTACAGACCTCCATTTTAAATTCTGACCGGGACTTGTATTCTCTGCTCTGAAGATGTGTCTGTCTTTAATTTTGGGAAGCTCTTCAGCGTTGATTCTCTGACTCCCCCTCACGTACCTGGACCAGCTCCTCCGTCCTCCTTGTGCTGCATCTGCTCTTACACATTCCCTTTCCCGCGGACTTCCTGCCACGGACTGAACTGTGTCCCCCAAATTCATGTGCTGAAGCCCTAACCCCAGGGTGACTGTGTCTGGGGATAGGCTCTTCAGGAGGTGATTAAGCGTAAATGAGGTTGGAAGGGAGGATCTGATAGGACTGATCTGATAGGACTGTGGTCCCATAAGAAGTGAGGGCTTGCTCTCCACCATGTGAGGACGCAGCGAGGGGGCAGCCGTCTGCGAGCCAGGAAGACACTTCTCACCAGAACCCAACCACGCTGGCCCTCTGATCTCAGAATCCCAGCCTCCAGAATGGTGAGAAAACTGATTTCTATTGTTTAAGCCGCCCAGTCTATGGTATTTTGTTACGGTGGTCCGAGCTGGCTAATACACTTCCTATACATTCAGTTCACGCATTCTCTCTTCAGCTCTGATGCATTCAGTCTGTGCATTCAGCATTGAGTACATATTTCCTTTCTACAAGTGCTCTTGGGTTATTTTTTAAAAACGCTCCTCTTCATGCCAGTCAGCTTTCATTTTTATTTTTTATTTTAAATACACTTATTTTATGGTTGTGTGCAAAGAGAGGTCTGGCCTTTGCCCCGACCCCTGGGAGGTCACCTCTGAGCCCTCGGAGTGTCCTGCCTGCTAGTGTCTCTGTTTCCCTGGGGCCGGGGATCACTGGACAGCCTAACAGTGTGACCAAGGTGGGGGGTTTGGGTCACGTGGTTTCAGCTTGCCCTCTGGGGGTGCTGGGGATGAGGTCAGCCTGTGGGTGGTCAGCTGTGCCCACATGGCAGAGCCCCAGTAAAGACTCTGGATGCTGAGGCTCAGGGAGCGACCCTGTCTGCTGATTCTCCATGTGTGTTGTCACCACCACTGCTGGGAGCACTGTCCATGACTCCCTGGGGAGGGGACGGCCGGAGCTGCCCTAGACTCCCCGCCCTGTGTGTCCCTAACCTTGGATGATTTTAATTTGCATGCTTTCGTGGCTGTAAACTGTAAGTGTGAAGGCTCTCAGGGCCTTCCGAGTCCTTTCAGCGAACTGTGGACCCTGAGGGTGGTCTCGGGGCCCTGAGCTCTGCAGTTGGCGGCAGAGGGAGTGGTCTGTGTTAAGATCCCTGGGGTTCTGGGGGGCGCCACCGTTGGCTGCATCCTTCTGTGCATTGCAGTGCATTCCTTGTGCTTTGTGTGTGTCTGGGCCATGAGTTCGTCCTCGGTGGGAGGTGTCTGCAGACGGCCCGGGTGTCCCCACCGAGCGGTTCTGCATGTTTCCACCAGGTGCCCGGGGCTTTCAGGGGGCTTTCCTTGCTCGCGGGTTCCCTACCACGTGCAGCGTAAAGTTGGACATGTGAGAGGTGGACTGATGGTCCTGGTTTTCCGCGTGACTGGAGGACGGTCACACTAGTGGTGCCCTGTGACCAGCACCTGCCGGGTGTCCTTACCTCATCCCCCCACTGCATCAAGCAGACAGGAACCTGGGGGTGCCTGGCAAGGGCTCGCACATTCACCACGCCGGGGAGCCTGACTTGGCCTCCTGGAGGATGAAAGACCCCGCGGGGAGAAGAGCCAGCTCCTGGCCAACCCCTCAGCAGAGTGCAGCCCCGTGACTGGGCCAGGCCAACCCACAGAACCGCTAGGTTTTGGGGGGCTGGTTATGCAGCAGTTGGTAATTGACGCAGAGGCTTTTCCTTCCCCTCACAAAGCCCTGGACCCCCAGCAGCACCTGTTCCTCCCCTAATGGCTGGGGTGCGAATCTCGGCCCACCCCTCCTGGCTCTTGAGGGCCCCTGGGGCCTCCATCAGGACCGGAACCCCGTTGAGCTGTGGAGTGTAGCTCAGTCCTGTGGTCCAGCATTGGTTTCTGTGTCTGCAGAGGGGAGCCGCCTTCTTTCTTTTACTCTCAGATACTTATTTATTGTTACTCACCTTTTCTGTGTCATGGGGGACAGGATTCTCTGCCGGTCTAGTTGCCGCCAGCCCCCCGAGCTGTGCTGTTTCCAATTCCATCTTGTCAAGTTTACAAGCTTCTAGGCTGGTTACTTAGTGAGGTCTTTTGAACTGTTGCTTATAAGTGAAAGCAGTTTACACAAAGATAACATCACGGTTGTTTTAAGTGGACACACATATGCGTATAAAAGTACAGGATGAAATTTGGAAAGACACATGTCAGACCCTTAATAGAGATCGTCTCTGGGAAGGGAAGGCGGGAAGTGAGAGCGAAGGCTGTAGCTGGAGGTGACTTTAGCTTCATTTGTAAGATTCTGTTTAAAAGCGTTCGTACAGTATCAGGTAATGTTTTGCTAAGTCTGCACGTAGCCCAGGAAGCCAAGTTGTTGGTGAGTGAGCGTGATGGGACTACGGTTGGCTCTCATTTTTCTCTGTGTACTTTTCAGTATTTAAAAAAGTACACGCTACCTACTTTTATTCACTTATTTTTTTAATTTGGCTGTGCCGCGCAGCTTGTGGGATCTTAGTTCCCAGACCAGGGATTGAACTTGCACCCTCAGCAGTGAGCGCGCCGAGTCCTAACCACTGGACCGCCAGGGAAGTCCCCCAGCTACTTGTAAAACGTGAGAAGCCCGGGTGGCCGGCATCAGGCTCTGCCAGGCTGGCTGGCCCGGCGGGCGTGCCTGCGTGTGGCGATGCAGCCCCGCCAGCCTGTGGAGGGATGTCCCCAGTGCTTGTTCGATGGCCACAGGGTGAGCCCCTTTCAGCGCCCGCCCTGCTCTGTCTGGGACGGCCTGAGTGCAGTTCCTCTGCCGAGTTTAACCATCTCCGCTCGTCTCTCCTGGAAGCCGCCAAACCTTGATGGATGTCTCAGCCGAGTAGACACCACATTCAACCATCTCTGTGGTTTAACAGAAAATGAGGCCTGGCAGGTGCCTGGGGTATTGTGACAAATTGGACAGCAGAGACGGCGTCTCTAACCTTGCTTTGCAGGATAGAAAAGAAGCGCACGGTCGTCCCCACGCTGGCCGCGGCCATCCACGACGCCGAGGGGAGAGAAGTGGACTGGAAGTACTTCTACCGCCTGCTCTTCACCTCTGAGAACCTCAAGTTAGTCCACATCGCCTGCCACAAGAAGACCACCCACAAACTCCTCTGTGATCCCAGCAGGATCTACCGAGCCCCGGCGGTGCCCCGGAGGAAGCGCCGTGCTCGCCAGCGCCCGTGATGCAGCCCGGACAGCACGTGCATCCTTCCAACAGGTGCTCCTTTTTTTGTTTTTTTGGCCACTCCAATATTCCCGGAAAACACTTGAAAAAAATCTTCCTACAGATTCTGGTTTGAGCACATTTCTGAAGCTGTCTCCTGACCTCTGCAAGCCCAGCTGCCAGAGGATGATTCTGGTGGCTCCCGGGACACCCAGGCTCAGGAGTGGCCTCCCTCCGGCTTCACCCATGTGTGTGTGCGGTGTTCCCAGCCAGGTGGCTCCCCTCTCGCCTGGCCACTCGGGCTTCAGGGAGCTTGTGTGAGCCCTCAGCTCCTCTGGGCCTCCACACCCCAGGCAAACACAGTGCTCTGTCCTCTGGTCTCTTCTAAATGCTCGAAAGAGTCGTGACCCTTTTGGGGTAAAATACAAGGATATTCACTGCTGTATTATTTCTAACTGCAGAAAGTGGGAAACCCTCCAAATGTCCGTGGGGCTGCTTGTGGCATTCTGCTGACCCATACGCAATTGCTGTTTCTGTGGGTCCAAAATGGTCAGGTAGATAGCATTAATTTCATGACTCAACCTGACACATCTACTCTGTAACAGTTTCGGGCGTTTATGTGAGAAGTGGGAAGCTGGCTGTTAAGTGCACGAGGCAGGCAGGTGGCTCGGCCATGCCCAGTGTGACACGGGTGTGTATGATACGTATGTGCCGGTCATGCAGAGACCGTCACTGCGTGTGAAGAGCAGGAAACCTGGGGGGTGGGGTGGGGTGACTGGGTCACAAAGGACTAATTTTCTAAATCATGCATTTTATAATACTTGAAGTTTTTGAAATGAGCATTTCATAATTTTTTTAAATTTACTTTTTAAAGTCACATTTTATAATACTTGAATTTTTATATGTACTGTATAATCATGAAAGCAATAAAGATTTTTTAAAAATAGACACGTCAAAAAAGTTTGCCCTCATTGAGAATGATGAAAATGAGGAAAAAAATGAGTCAATGACTTTTAAGAAGCTGACCCAAATCATTCTATCTTCGTCACTGAAATATACACACATTTTAGAAGGTGCCAGTTCAGCGTGGGATTTGAAAAGTGCTGTTTCAGTTCATGGCACTGATCTAGTGTGCTGGGAAGTGGGGACGTGGGATAGGCTGGACGTCCCGGAGCGTGGTGGGTCCCATCTGTGCAGTAAGGAGGCCGGACCAGGCCCAGTGGCCCCCACCCCGTCCCTCCAGCTCCGTGGCTGCGTGTCCAGGGCAGGGCTGCCTGCTCTCTGCTGCTGGAGTGCGCCTGTTACAACCTCTTCGTGACGTTTCTGGAGGGCAACTCAGCACAGTTGTCATAAGGACCCCTTCCTTCCCCCGCCCCTGGCCTCTGGTTGCGCAGGGCTGCCCGGGCACGAGGCCTCCCCAAGAGCCGACTGGTCAGGGCTCCTGCTGCCCACATCGTGCCGCCTCGGTGCGACTGCCGGGAGAGGTGTCCGGAAGCTTGTGCCGGTCTCTCCTGGCCTTGGCCCCGTGCACCTTTTCTCTCTGCTAATTTTAATCGGGGTGACCAAGAGTGCGACAGCTTTCCCGAGTCCTGTGAGCTCTGAGAACTGTCGTGCCTGAGGCCGGTCCTAGGTCCCCTGCACAGACGTGCGCAAGGAAGCGGGATGAGCGGTCGATGGCAGTCGACAGAGTCGCAGGAATGCTCGCAGGACGCACCCCACACCCCTACTGCTCTGGCACCGGTAGGTCATTTTGTGGATTCACGTAGGAAGTGTTTCTAAAAATCTGCATGTGTCACATGGCCTGGCCTGTGGGTCGGGTGTTCATTTTAAATGCTGGCAGAACACATCCTCGGAGTACTCCCAATTAGAGCAATTTTAACACGCGTTTTAATACGCTTTTTGAAACTTTATTTCGTCCCCCGGGCCTGATCTGCATTCCATCTGTCTTGCTCACGTCACCCTGGGCTGGCCTCACGACGTGTTTTCTTTGCACTGTCCTTGCACGCGTGAGCACAGAACAGGTTCCCCAGATGCACCGCCCTGGTCCCAGCCGCCTCGTTACGGGGACACCTGGTGTTTTCTTTTGGTAATGTCTCACTCTCGGGAGTAACCATCAGGGACATGGACTTGCCCACCCTGGCCACTTTCAACACCCAGCAGGTTCCACTGGGCGCGTTCCCTGCACTCAATGTGATCCTCCAGTTGCCACTGGAAACCAGAGCTGCAACTCAGTGGAGCCAGCTGGCGCCGGGGAGGCGGGTGGGCGGGACGATGGCCCACCACACTGTCCGTCATCAGTTAGAAAAAGGCCTGGAACACGTGGGGAGCTTCCTGTGGTTTAGCTCAGCAACCTGGGCGGCTGGGGAGGAACCTCTCCAGGTTCCACGTGGACCGCAAGCCAGCGGGGCTCAGGCATCCAGGAGTGAGGTTTACGTTTCGCATTTTGGTGGGAACATGCCGACGTGTCTGTCCTGCAGGTGGGCTGTGATTCAGGTTGATGCTTCTCCCGGGAGCCAGTGTAGGGGAAAGACAAAATCCCCTGAAATCTGATGCAGCTCGACCCCCACGAATCCGAGTGCCGTGATTAACAGTCATTCCTGCAGAATCTCAGGTTGTGAATTACTCTCCCTGGATGCTGCCAAAAGGCCTTAGAAGCAACATCGTCACGTTATTAAAGTAGTTTGTTGACCAATAAATCACAGAATGACTCAGAGCAGGGGAAGGTCACAGCTGCTGACGGGACAACGACCACACTGAAGCAGAGGGACTGGGGGGACACGTGTGGGGACAGGCGCTTCCCGGCAGCACTCTGGGTCCATCAAGGACAGTGGCCAACCTTACAGGGCAATTCAACTATATTTTGCCCCCAAATGATGTTATGTAAGAAACTTCCGTTGTTCACAGGACATTTTAGAGGGAGGGAAGTCTAATGGCTGTCATAACTAAAGCAGAAATGTTTGCTAGCGCAGCAACAGTAGGACCGCTGCTCACTCGTGAAAATCCAGCACGGCCCTCCGGAACTGCAGGCAGCTCTCCTCCTGTACCTGTCACCCGGGGACCAGGCTCCCTCTTGGACGCTCTCCTAGTCACCAGCCTTGGTGTCCTCTGCCAGCAGCTGGTGACAGGAAGGGGCAGCAGACAAGCAGGCCCACATTCCTCTCCGGAGCCCACTGGCAAGAATGTGTCACCAGGCGCTCCTTGAGACAGGGGGAGTGACAGTGTAGCTCCGGCAGGGCAGCTGCACCAGGTAACACTGCACCAGGGAGAAGAGCACGGCTTCGCTGGATGGTTGGTCCCCACACCACACAGGGCGAGGAATGTGCCGAACACCTACCATCTCAGAAATCCCACAGCCTCAAGAGGAGGAGCCGTGTCCCTTCCAGCTCACAGCCCTGCACTCTCAGCTCTTGGCAGTGGTTAATGGGTGCAAAGCTGAGCCAGCCTCGTACATGTTAAGACAGGACAGGATCTATTTTCTCCACTTGGCTGTCCAGCATTTTAGAAAGGAATACAGCTCTAGGAACCTAAGCCTTCTTTAAAAATATTTTCAAAATATATTTTATTTCTTTTCCATATGGATTTTGCTGAATGTCCAAGGTACACATGAGCTTCATATACAGAAATAAAGGAGAGTTCTTTAAGAACTGGGATTGAATCAGTCACAAGAATGATCGAATTCTGATTATGGAAAATAAACTTGCACGTTATCAAAGCTAAGCTTAAGAGTTTCCTTTACAGAGAGATCTCTCGTTTACGAGAGGAGTTAGCTGGAGTCACCCCCGTGGGTACAGATGGGAGAAAACGCATCGCTGCAGAAACAGCTGTGCACGCAGAGGTCTCTAGTTCACGTGTGCCAGCCTCCCCGCGGGTACGTGGCATTCTGTGCTGCTGACCTTTGTGGGTCAGTTCTGAATTCTGATTAGAAGCATGGACTCTTGGAGATAGGTTTGGTATAAATCTCTAATGTGCTGAACTGGGAAGCGGTCAACGGTACTGAACGTGCAGAGGATCAGTGTGTGCGTCTCACCCTCTATGTTTCTGCACCGTCGGCATCGTCGTCATCGTCGTCTTTGGCTCTGAAATGCATTTTCCTGAATTCGCGTCTGCTCATCGAAGGGCAGGATGACGATGCTGGCGGAAGGTCCTTGGAGGGAAGAGAACACCTGCTTCAGGCACGGGTTGCCCAGCACGAGCACCCGTCTCCGGGCTCTGGTCCCCCCCCATCATGGGAGCGTGCTCCCCACCAGCGTGATGGAGGGAGAGAGGAAAGACTCTGGGTTAAAAGCAAAAGCAAGCCCGGCAAATGCGGGCGAACTGCCCAGAGGGCTGCAAACCACGGCCATGACTTCACACCCCGCAGCAGGGTCCAGACTCACGTCGGCCAGCCCCGCCCACACCCGCACTCGCTATGGCAACGGTTCTCAGCTCCGTGCGGGGGATGCCCCACATCAGCAACCGTTCTGTTCTCTCCTCCCGGGTTAGAGCTCTTACTGTGTTTGATCTGCATCGGGTGGCACTCACACGTGTGAACTGGGGCCGTGACCAGGCGTGCGGTCTGCTGGGGGCTGCCTGCCCAGGGGAGAGGCCACAGGCCTTACCTGCATGAGCTCGACGTTTCCGAAGAAGCGGCTCACTGGCATCGGCTGGTTGCTGTCGTCATCGAGAAGGACGCTGTTGTCCATCTGCAGTGGAGGCGTGTGGCTCTGCTCCAGGTCCGCCACCGCCCCGTCCCTCTCGGGGCAGCCACTGTCGGACTCTCCTCCCGCAGGGGCCCCGCATCTCGGCAGGGGCGGCCTGTCCTCAGTCTCTACCGGGCAGGCGTCACTCATGGCTCCACAGTGCCCCTGGGGGAGTCCTGCGGTCCCCTGAGGAGCGGAGCCGCTGGCTTCCTTTCCCGGAAGCCTGGCCCTGTCCTCAGCCGATGCCAGAGGCTCGCGTTGACCTGGGGTCTCGGGGGTCGCTGTGGGCGCAGCAGTGCTGTCACTCTGGGGGATGGGTTTCTGGAATTCTGACTTCACAAGATGACCTTTGTCGTACTTGAACTTCTTGGACGTGCGCCTGTCGGTGGCTTTTTGTGATGAGGAAGGCTGTCAGGAGAGAAAAGGCAAGGGAAGACCAGACACGCTGAAGGTTACGAAGCAGATGGCAAACAGTTAACAAGCCTCAACTCCAGGGGCGGGCAGTCCTGCTCACAGCAAGCGACGTCACTGCTGGAGCCACAACTTACAGGACAGGGTCCTTTCATTGTCTGCCGCCAAAGGGGCGGAGTCCAGACTGACGCTGTCCCCCGAGGGGCGCCCTGCCATGTAAAATGATGACCCCAGACCCAGCTTCCATTCGTTTCTGCTGGGCTGTGAGCTCTGACGAGGCAGGACTCTCTGTTCCATGGCAGGAGCGGGCGCTCAACGGGGCCGTGAACTTGACTCAGCGCAGCTCTAACAAGTGGCACCCCAGGAGGGAAACCAGGCCAGTTGCTGCTGTGAAGCCAAGTCTAGCCAGACCGCCGGGCTGCAGCTCAAGGGAGCAGCTCTGGAAACTGGGACCACCGGGCCACCATGGCTGTGTGCCCCTGGCTGGACACAGAGTCCCCTGCCTCCCCACCTGCCCTTTGGGGTGAGCAGCATGGCCTGTGCCAGCATCGCTCAGGCTGCCCAGCAGAGGCCGCTGAGCCCACAGCTCTCGGTGGGCGGGGAGCACGTGCACCGAGGGCGGGGCCTCCTCTGATGGCGACAGCGCCGTGACCTCGCCTCTGGTCTGTTCGCCACACTCAAGGCTTTCTAACGTGACATGTTTCGTGGAGAGGTTGACGCTCAGTCCAGTCCTGTCTCTGAGGGGCTGAGGCTCACCTGACATGCCGTCCGGGCAGACGTGGCGACGTGGGCTTCCTGGGCCGAGGCCGATGTGGCCAAGCAGCTCCGGGCTCGGAGGCGTGCCGAGGACCGCACTCCACCTGCCAGCTGGGCCAGACCAGAGGCTGGTCAGAGACCCCGAAGATGGCCCCTCCCACCCCCATGTTTTTATCGACCATGGAAAGACAGACACCATGGCCTCTTTTTTTTTTTTTCGGCTGTGCCGTGTGGCTTGTGGGATCTTAGTTCCCCAACCAGGGGCTGAACCCAGGCCCGCACAGTGACAGCGCCGAGTCCCAACCACTGCACCGCCAGGGGCTCCCCTAATACCATGGCCTGAATGGCGCATCTGCACAAAGCTGGGTGGAAGGTGCCGACCCCCATTTCCATGATCCGGGAAGCTCGCATACTCTGTCCCTACCTCCCACGTTTTTAGAACCTCCATTTGTGAGTGAATAGATGTTCAGTTGACTTCAGGTGTTTAGAATAAGCAGCCTGTATCCTTGCTCAGGTTCTGGATAAAAGGTGAAAAAGCAAAAGCCCCCCCCCCACCCCCGCCCCACAAACCCTCTCTCTGAAATCACAGGGGAGCCAGGCCTAATCCCATCAGCTTAAAGGAGCTCTAGCTGCCATCGACAGGCCACAACGCTAACAAACCGCCCGCCGCCATCTCACTTGGAATGCAAAGGAAAGTCTTCTAGTGACAAGAAAGGAATTAAAACAATGAAACTTACAATCATTTTATTTAGGAATAATTTTAGGTTTTCAGAAAAGCAGCAGAGATGGGAAGGGAGTTCTGCCCGTGCCTCCCTCATCTTCCCAGCAGCCAACAACCTGGTGCATCTGTCAAAACTAAGCTCAGCATTGACGCGACAATTCACGAAACTGGGGCTTCATTTGCATTTCACCTGCCTCTCCACTGACTGCTCTCTCTGTTCCAGAATGGGGACCACAGACACTTAGAAAATAACACATTAAAGTGCAAGTGAGAACTTGAAAGTAAGAGAGGTGGGGGATAGTGAGGAAGGCGTAGCGGAGGGCAAGCTTGACAGCGCTGTCCTAGCGGCCGAGACCTAGGGGCTGAGGACGGGGCCGGATGGGGGGCAGCATGCCCAAAAGTGGAGAAGAGAGGTCAGAAAGCACACAGACTAGTTTAGAAATCTTCACAGCAGCATCTCATCCAGAGGCCCCTGGAGGAGGGCAGGCCACTGAGGCTCCGAGGCACGTGACCGCTTGCGGAGGGCACTTAAAGGGAAGGGGAAGGCAGCTTCCACAGCGAGAACAAGGCAGGACCCGCTGATGTGGACGCCCCGGGGCTGGGCTTTGCTCAAAGAGCCCAGGCAGCAGTGTGGCCGCTCATACCCAAGGAACTAAGCCTAAGAGGTTACAGAATATCTCCTGTGGGGACGGCACCGCACCACCCAGTCTCCCTGGAGCTCTAGCGCTGCCACAGTCGGGAACAGACATTCTTAGCCCCAGAAAGTCGCTGACTATCCTCTCCTTCCCGTTATAGTCCGACTCCAAACATTTTGATGCCGGGTCGTGCCAGGCTCCCTCGGGGGGGACTGGCGCTCGTGACAGCGGCCACCACCCCTGAGTGTCAACACACAGGTGCTGTGCTCGTGCCGAGCAGCTTTAAAAGGAGCAGCACCCCACTGCAGATGGGGACTCGGGAAAAGACCCTGCCAAGGTCACACAGAGTGATGTCTGGCTTCAGAGCCCCTCCCCCTGCTCTGTCACCAGAGCCACCCGCATGAAAGCCTTGGCTGCTTGCAGAGGGACCGAGCAGAGAACCTGCCATCCGGCTCTGGGGCTGTGTGCCGTGCAGGCCCTCTGCTGGCAGCAGGGCACTTCTAGATGCTTTGTACCACAGCTCCTCGGGTGGGCCTGTCACCCCTCAGCTTTCTGGGCCCCTCTGCAGAGGTGAAGTCGGTGAGGGTCTGGCTGAGACCCAGGAGCTGTGGTTACAGGCACCTGAGCAGGCCATCTGCCATCCGCACCAGATTTGCGAGAGTCAACTCCAGTGGCATTTTGGCTTTAGTTTAATTGTGGGTAAAACTACCTCTAAGGCCCTTGCTCCAAAATGTCAAGAATCAATTACATTTTTTTCTAACTTGGAGAACCGTTGCTCTTCAGTTAGGCAAACTGGTTGCTTCCACGTAAACAATCCCTAAATGAAAAAGCCCCCATCATTGAGGACTTCCTCCTTCCAAGCAGACTAGTTAAAGACTAAAAGAGCTGGAAGAGATCAACAAAACAGCAAGAGGTGCTCCACTAACCCTCCCCCAGTGCAACTGGTGAAGAGTATTAAAAACAACCATTTAAAACCTTTGCAAATGGTCCTATAAGCAAAGAGCAAAATGAAGAAACAGTTATTCTGGTGTCCCAACTCCACACGGCCAAGGTCAGCACACAGGACACCCTCCCCCCCCCCCCCCCGCCCCAGGCAGAGGGCTTTCTTCCCAGGGGAGCAGGATGGCAGCACTTCTCATTCTGCCCTCACCCCACCTGCTGTGAGGCCAAGTCTCCAGCAAGCACGCTTGAGAGGAGGGGCTCCCTTCTGCCGAGGCCCCACTCATGGAACAGAAGTTCCTGCCTGGGCAGGGCACTAAGGAGACTGGGGCCCCATCACCCTCGCCCCTCCTAGCGAGGCAGTGGTTCCAAGGCCAGGAGAGGCAAGTCCAGGGGATCTCAGGCTGCTGCCCCCCTTCCCTCCCCTGAGCACTTAGCTCTGAGAGCAGGGGTGTCACACAGAGAAGCCTGTCACTGTCCCCAGCTGGGGAGCCCTGGCTCAGATTCTGCCTGGAGAAGAGGCAGGCATCAAAACAAAGGGCTCTTAATCTCTTCCAACTTCATTTACAACAGAGTGTGGAGAAGGTAATGCCTAAGGGGTCCTCAAGATCAGTGGAAGCTGTGATGAAAGGCAGATGGGAGAAAAGTCAAGATAAAGTGTAGGCGTATAGTCTTCAGGAGACAGCCAGGGAAAAACACAGCAGGAGAATCCCTCCTGGGGTCAGAACAAACATCAAACACTGATCTTAGAAACTATTCCTTCCAAGAAGCCTGAATGTGATTGGATTCCTTTGTAGAAAATTTATCCTCCAGGTCATCGCTGAAAACGACTGGGCGATCAGCTGGCAACTAGCAGAGCTTAAAAGCTGGGTGTGGGGACTTCCCTGGTGGCGCAGTGGTTAAGAATCCACCTGCCAATGCAGGGGACGTGGGTTTGAGTCCTGGAATATCCCACGTGCCGCGAAGCAACTAAGCCCGTGTGCCACAGGTACTGAGCCTGCGCTCTAGAGCCCGCAAGTCACAGCTACTGAGCCTGCGAGCCACAACTACTGAAGCCCATGTACCTAGAGCCTGTGCTCCGCAACAAGACAAGCCAACCGCAATGAGAAGCCTGCGCACCGCAAAGAAGAGTAGCACCCGCTCGCCGCAACTGGAAAAAGCCTGTGCACAGCAACGAAGACCCAACGCAGCCAAAAAAAAAAAGAAAGAGCTGGGTGTGGTCAGAGAAAGAGGAAGACAGCCCCCCTGAAACTAGTGAGACCCAGGTGACTGTGGGCACACCCAACACTGCCCCTGAGGAGCATCATCACAGCTTCAGCTGTGGGAAGGGAAACAGACTCTACTAGAATCCCCATCACCAAACAAATAAAAAGGACATTAACAGTAAAAAGCCTCAGGATGGGGGTGGGAGCCCAGTACCCAGAGCTGCTACAATATGTTATCTAACATGTCCAGTTTTCAAAAAATCATGAAACATGCAAAGAAACAGGAAAGCAGACCCATACACTAGAATAAAAGCAGGCAACAGAAACTCCCTGTGAGAGAGATCAGATGTTGGATTTATCAGAAAAGGACTTCAAAATAGCCATTATAAATGTGTTCAAGAACTAAGAGAGACCATGATCAAAGAAAGATTTGATGACATCACATCAAATAGAGATTATCAATAATAAGATAGAAATTATAAAAAAGAACCAAATGGGAATTCAGGAGTTGAAAATTACAATAGCTGAAGTAAAAAATTCACTGGCAGGGGTGGGGGTGTGCTCAAGAGTAGATATGAACTGGCAGAAGAAAGAATAAGTGAACTTGAAGATAGATTGCTAGATTACACAAGCTGAAGAACAGAGAGAAATAAGAACGGGGAAGAATGAAGAGCGCCCCAGAGACATGGTGGAGGCTATAAAGTGCAGCAACATACGTGTGATGGGAGTACCAGCAAGAAAGGAGGGAGAGAGGGGCAGAAAAAATATTTGAAGAAATAATGGCTGAAAACTTCCCAAATTTACTGAAAAACAACAATGTACAAACCAGCAATCTCTGTTTCTCTTTCTTTTTTTTTCTTTTTGGCTGTGCCGTGTGGCATGTGGGATTAGTTCCCCCACCAGGGATTGAACCCACGCCCCCTATAGTGGAAGCATGGAACCCTAACCACTGGACCGCCAGGAAATTCCCCAAACCCAGCAATCTCAAAGAACTGAACTTCAAGTAGGATAACTGCAAAGACATCTATAAGCAGATGCAACACTGTTTAAGTGCTGAAAGTCAAAGACAAGGGGAAAGTCTCGGAAGCAGCAAGAGGAAAATGACTCCTTAGGACAAGGGAGCCCAACAAATAAACTGTTGATTTAGCAGAAACAATGGGTGCCACACCACAGTGGGTATATTCAAACAGATTCAAAGTTCTCAAACAAAAAAACTGTCAACCAAGAATACTATATCCAGCAAAACTATCCTTCAAAAGTGAAGGCAAAATAGACACTTCCAGATAAAAACTGAGAGCACTTGTTGCTGCAGACTCCTCTTACAAGAAATACTAGAGGAAGTTCTTTGGGTTGGAAGCAGGTGACCCCAGACGATAATTCAAATCCACAGAAAGGGCTTCCCTGGTGGCGCAGTGGTTGAGAGTCCGCCTGCCGATGCAGGGGACGCGGGTTCGTGCCCCGGTCCGGGAGGATCCCACATGCCGCGGAGCGGCTGGGCCCGTGAGCCATGGCCGCTGAGCCTGCGCGTCCGGAGCCTGTGCTCCGCGACGGGAGAGGCCACAACAGTGAGAGGCCCGCGTACCGCAAAAAAAGAAAACAAACCAAAAAAACAAATCCACATAAAAAAGGGCACCAGTAAAGGGAATTACGTCCTCACGGAGACAGTTTACGTGCATATTATTTCTTTCCCTAAGGTGATTTAAAAGACAGTTGCATACAGTAACACGTATGCAAGTGTAGGCAGGAATGCCCATAACAGCACAAAGGAGATGCGTGGCATCAAGGCTGTACTGGGCTAAGGAAATGACCACGGCTGGTAAAGTAATCATGACAGTGTACTATCGGGTTTGTAACATTAAACATTTACCACCACCAGAAAAGTGCGTTAAGGGAACAGAGTGCGTTAAGGGAACAGAGCTACATAGGGGTAACATTTGTGTATCTCTCTGGAACTAAGCTAGTTCAATCTGAAACGAATTCTGCTAAATTACAATGTACACGGTAAGACCCAGAGCAACCCCTGGGGGAAAAAACTAAAGGTTTAAAATAAATCAATAAATTAAAACCCTACATTAGAACCAAACAGAAGTGTGAGAAAAACAAAAAGTAAAATGACACGCGAACCCAACTAAGTCACTGACGCGTTAAACAATCCCTCAAAAGGCAGAGACGTCAGACTGGGAAAGCGCAACCACGTGGGTTTTCAGGAGGCACATTTTCGGGTCAAAGGTACCCCAGGCGCCGCTCCCACCCCCCGGAGGGCCCCCTCCCCAGGCAGGGGCGCATCCTGTCCCTGTCCCTCGCCCTGGTTCACACCGCCCGCCGGCTACCAGTGCCAGGAACTGGCGCCCCTCCATCCTCTCCACCCTCCGGGGTGTACCCGTCGTCATGTGCCCGCACTTGGGCTGGCTGACCCCGGGCTCGGATGCCGGCAGCAGAGGCACGCGAACCCCGGGCTGGGCAGCGTCAGGGCACCAGCGGTCCGGACCAGCTCCGGAGAGAGAGCCCCCCCATCCCAGGACCTGATCTGGGAGCCCCCTTCCCAGGGGCGTGGCCTCGGAGCTTCCCTAGCCCGGGGGCGTGGTATGGGGGGGGGGGTGCCCTTCCAAGGGCGTGGCCTGGGAGACCCCCTTCCCGCAGACGTGGTCGGAAAAGGGGGGGTCCGCTTCCAAAGGCGTGACCTGGGAGCTCCCTTCCGGGGGTCGAGAGCCAGGCAGAGATCCCCCACCTCCGCCCGAGGCGTACCGTGGCTCCCCCTCAGCTCCCAGAAAGTTGGCGGCGGCACCCCCCACTGCGCCCGGCGCAGCTCCCGCCCGGCCTCCGGCCCCTCACCTTCCGGCTCCTCATGAGTGTGAGCGGCGCGTTGCCGCCCCCAGCCCCGCCGCCAAGCCCCAGCACCGGGCCTAACACTCTCCAGCAGAGAAGCGACCCGGCCGCCCTCGGCTCGCGCCGCGGCGTCTGACGTCACCAGAATGCTGGCCAATCACAGCCAGGCGTCTCCAGGCATGTGACCCAACAAAGTCGGCGTTTTACGTAGCGGGCGGGTCTCACGGCAGTGTTGTGAGGAAAATCTCCCTTGCGGGCTCTCCGGCCGCCATTTTTGAGCGGGGCGGAGGCCATATTTATGAGGGTCGCCTCCTTTGGTGTCTCTGCGGCCGCCATGTTTAAGCGGGGTGGCGGCCATGTTTATGAGGGGCACCTCCCTTGACGGCTCTGCGGCCGCCACGTTTAAGCGGGGCGGCGGCCATGTTCGTGAGGGGCCTCCTTTGGCGTCCCCGGCCACGCGCGTGGAGGCTGGCTGGGAGGGCCTGCGCGGCGGTGTCTTCCACCCCGGTCCGGCAGGCGATTTTCCCGGGCCCCGGCCTTGGCTTCTGCGCCCCGGGAGCGATGCTGGAGTCCCTGGAGGTGGTCGCGCGAGGCCGTTCCCCGCCCTGGCCGCACTGCCCACCGATGCAGTGCTGGGTGGGCCGGGCCCGGGGCTGCACGGCGAACCCGGTCCGCGTGGGAAGGGACGGCGGCGTCTCCCGCCGCGAGCCCCGGGGGCGGCCGCCCTCGGGTGGATACCCCGCGCTGGCCCGCACCTCGTCTCAGGCACGTGCGTCGGCGCCACGGGACCGAGGTCCACGGACGGACGAGGCTAAAGCCCTCCCGGGGCCGGGGCCGCAGGGCCCTTTCGGGCCGGGGGACACCAGCCTCCGTGCCCGCTGTGGCCCTCCTCCCGGAACCACCCACTTTCTCATCAGGGACGCAGGGACCACGCGCTCTTCACAAATAAACGACAGTGCTGTTTCCTTTTGTTATTAGTTTTTTTTTTTTTTAACGAGAACATTTAAATCAGGCAGTTTTGTCAATTACGTTTTAAAATTAAAGTATAAAGGTTGAAATGTGTACCGCTCGAGGGTCTCTCCGCGCGTGGTTCCCTGGCAGAGGCGTGATTCACCGTCTCTTCCAAAGGCTTCATGGTCTCTGCCCTGACGGAATGACTCCCTCGAGGCCTGGAAATACAGTCGATGCCTCTTTTCAGTGCATAAAAAATGTGGGCCCTTCAGGATCCCGCCAGAGCGCTATGCAGACTCTCCTCTCTAGACATGCGTCCTTAGGTAATTAGGGCTGCACGTGGGGTTTTGCTTTTGGCAGTGCGTGAAGACACGTGCAGTCCTAGGGTACACACGCACACACGGACACGTGCACACACACGCACTGCACACAATTGCACACACCCTTGCACGTGCATACATGTGCATGCACAGGCCAACACCAGCACAAGCTCACCTACCTGGCTATCCTATCCCTCTTCCTTCCCAGTTCCATGCTTCTCACCGGGTTGTTCCCCATGGTACACACCTAAGGGAAAAGACAAATGTGGGCTGGCAGGAAATCCTTTTGAAGGGGAAACTAACGTAATCACTGTCAGCTGTTAAGAAAAAAGCAAAGTGATACGCGTGTTAAATACCTAACCTGTCCCATTTTCGCTGAAGTCGGTTTCACAATGAGCTGGGTTCAGTGATTTTATTTTGGACTCCTTAAGAGCTCTGAGTTCTCGGTTCTCATTAACTAGGGGCTGATCGCCACAAGCCAGTTTTGGGCTCCATGGTGGTTTATGGTTAATGTCAACTGAGATACACACCGCACTGCTTGAGCGTGTCCGACTGTGGCCGGATCATCTCAGTGTCATCCCGAGTTTAACGTCCCAAAGGAGCTCTTGATCTCTTGTCACAGATATGCTGTGGTCCCCCCTCACTGCTCCCCTGCCTCCAGTTTACATAGGTGGTATTTGCAGCTGCCCAGCTGCTCCGGCCTGGCCCCCAGGGCACGCTCACTGCCCATGTCCCATCAGCCACCATCCCTGGTCCGCCTTCCCCTCTTGCCAGTTCTGCCCTTGGCAGTCAGGGTGGTCATTGATCAGTGACCCACCCCACTGCTAACGGTCTTCAGCGCTTCCTCACCGCTTCTAGGATGGAGAGCGACAGTCCTAATACGACCTGCACAGCCCAGCACAGTGCCTGGCACAGCGGCTACTCAATGAATGATGGTCGAATGAATGCTCAGAAAGCCCTGTGAGGTTGCCCACCACTGCCCCTCGTCCGGACTCATCTGGCCCTGCCACCCCCTCCCCTCCCCCTCTGCTGTGCTCCCCGCTCCCCTCTCAGCCCCCACCCTGCATGCACTATTCCCTCCGCCTGGAAAACCTGCCCCCCAGCCCCCCACCCATTTTGCCTGGCAAGTTCATTCTACAAATCTCAATGCAGCTTCAATTTCATGTCCCGGTTGGGGGGGGTGCATTACCAGATGTTCCCCCCAAACCCCCAAATTCAGCCTGTCAATTGTTTTTTAGCATCCTGTACTCTTCCCCCAGGGCGTGGAGCCAGCTGGCTCTCCTATCCCCTCTCTCCCGGAGCACTGCAAGGCATCCCTTCACTTACTCACTCCATGTGTCTGCTGAGCTGTCATGGCCGTGCTGAGCTGGGCCTGGGGTCCCAGTGGTGGTGGGCTCATGCCAGTCCTGCCTTTTTAGTGGTTTAGCCCCACAGGGGGATGGGCGTTGCTGGAATAATCACATGAGGATCAATCCATCTGCATTGGTGGTAAGAGCCACAGGGGAGAAGCCATAGCACCCGGGGTGTCAGACCCACTCAGGGGAATCAGATAAGGCTCCTTGGACAGTGGAAGTGGATCAGAAGTCACCTCTTCTCTCCAGGACCCAAGCCCCTTTCAGGCTCCCCAGGAGGAAGCAGGCAGGAGCCCCTGCCTGGGCAGAAGTTCGCCCCTCCTGATGCAGCGGGAGGTCCTGCCCTGGTGGAGCAGGCGTGCTTGGATTCTCCGCTCTGCACACCTCCCAAGCCGCCGTGTCGGGACGCGATCCATCCTGGAGGGCACACAGAGGACATGGAACCAAAATCATGCCTCTGCACATCCCTCTGGGTTCCTCGGCGCCCTTTGTCTCTCGTTTTCTTCCTGAACGGCTGTACTCCCTACCCTTCCGGGGTTAGGGGCCCAGAGAGGGGCGTCCCCATGATGGCAGGACATTGGTTCTCATTGCCAGTTGGTCCCGCACGTGGATTGAAAGCTCCCTGAAGGCAGGGACTGTGTTCTGCTCAGAACCCCGTCCCAGAACCCAGCCAAGTGTCTGGGACATGCAGGTGGGGGCTCGGGAAGCACTGATTGAAAGAAGGATGGTGATGACGACACACAGGGAGAAACTGAAGATGGAAGATTCTGAGGAAACGTTGTATTCCTCAGAATGCAAAGGTTTCCTTCGTAGCTCACCTCTCCTGCCTGACTCGGCTGGGTAGTCACAACCCTACAGCCGTGCAGCTGTCGAATTCCTCTCATGAGTCAATCCCACGCAAATTTGCCAAGGTCCTAGCAGGAGCCAGGCATCTTCAGGACCCAGAGGTCGACAAGGATGTGCAGGCTCAGAGCCTCGTAGGACACACAAGAGGCGCACAGAGCTCCTGCGACCCAGAGAAAGTGCAAAGAAGTTCCAAAGGGACACTGGTGTTGAGCAGGAAACAGTCTCTGTGGAGGGAGGTTGGTCAGGGAAGGCTTTCTGGAGGAGGTGGTGCTGGCCTTGGGCTTTAAACATATGTGAAGTGTCAACACCGAGGCGGGGCCGCCCTTCGCAGAATCTCACCAGTGGTTAAACATCAGTGCGGTTTCCGTAGGCTGCTTTGCAGGCTAATCAAATAATCTGTGACATTAAAACATTTGAGAACAATAGGGCATTTTCTGCTTCAAATCTCCTACAGCCTGCTGGGAAGAGGGGCCAACTGTGGGTCTATTAGACAGGCTCATGTTTCAGCAAATTCACGATCAGCAGAAAGACCTGTGTGAGGGTGCTCTCCTCAAGCGCACAGCCGTTCCTACCTCCTCTTTGCCTCCCTGGCAGGAGACTTGGAGGCGGCCTCATTCAGAATTTCTTGTTTTTCCTGGTTCACTTGGCTTTCCATTCTGGGTTTCTGTCTTTTTTTTTTTTTTTTTGGTACGCGGGCCACTCACTGTTGTGGCCTCTCCCGTCGCGGAGCACAGGCTCCGGACGCGCAGGCTCAGCGGCCATGGCTCACGGGCCCAGCCGCTCTGCGGCATGTGGGATCTTCCCGGACCGGGGCACGAACCCGCGTCCCCTGCATCGGCAGGCGGACTCTCAAGCACTGCGCCACCAGGGAAGCCCTGGGCTTCTGTCTTTTATGTGCAATTAATCGTGTGTGTGTGTTCTGAAAAATCTAACTGTGCTTCTGTTTTTATTGATAGCAACTCCGAATTGTTTTGGACAGTAGTCAGGATGTAAATGTATACGAAGCAAAATCCTCATAAAGCCTTCACGTTCCACTGACATCGGACAGGTAGAAATTCACCAGAATCAGCCAGGAACGGTCTCCCGACGCCTTCTGGCTGTACTGTAACTGTCACCATTATCCGTTCGTTTCATTCTTCAAGCATTTATAGAGCTCTCTGTGCGCACTGCGCTTCATCACTGCAAGAAATATTGCAGCCACATCACACAACTCGGCTGACAGCTGGAAGGGGGGCTCCCTCAGAGGAGGGTCTTGGGATCTGGGGGACCCACAGATGTTTACTCGAAGCCAATGGAGAAATAGTGCCAGGCAGTTGAACTTTGGGAACTGCCGTGGTCCCCGTTTGACCCGAAAACACGAGGAACACACCCTGCTTGGGTATTAAGGGAACCCCAATCAGAATGGAACGTTCAGGACATCATCCTGGCCTAGAAGCTCTGAGTGGTTGGCAGTGTTGGGACAAAGCTACTCCCTGGGTAGGGACATCGCAGTGATCGTGTCCTTTGAATGAAAACCCAGGGATTTGCAGAGCCTGGAAAAGGCTACATTTCCAGCGAGATGGAGAAAATGCCATTTTAGGAGGACCTTTGGGCTGGCAGCAAGAAAGACCCAAAGAAGAAAAGCTCCATTCTGAGAGCTCCTGGGCCCCGGGCTGGTGGAAATTGGC